ATGTTTATGCTTCCCCGCCTGGCTCTCGAGTCATTCACGTTTTTGGTGGGTGGTGGGCGAAACCTGTGTATATTCGACGGACACACAACACTCACCAGTAACCCACGATGATTTTCGGCTGAAAACTCACACTGATACCTTGAAGGCAAGGCTAGCACTGGGCCGTTTTTCAGTCTGAGCTTCACGAAACCTAAAAAATACCCTTAGGGCCATGTAAAAAGGTTCCTCTCTGCTTCTACACACCACCAACCCTTCTCATTCCTCCCCCCAAATTTATCACCTGGGAGCTAGAAATACGGCTTTATGCTCTGGAAGATGGTGATTTTCTGGTGGAGTGTCTGTGGTTTATTGTTTGGTGCCGAAGTGGACACAGGAAACACATTCTGGGTCAGTGGTGGACCCAGCCTCTGTATAGCCTAGGAACAGCCAAGTGGCAGGTAGGAGGGCCTCGTGACCTAGTCGTCCTTTAACTGCTCTGGAGCAAAAAGAGTTGGTGAACCACTCTGTCTATAAATCTCCTGTGCTTCCATTGTGTCCGGAGAACATTTCCAGGGACATTTTATGTAGACAGAAAAATGAAACCCGAATCTCAAGCCACCATTTATAGAACCCACAAGCTCTATCTAGGCTGTCATTTTGGCTGCAGGCTGGGGGCCCCCTTTCTGGTGCCTTCTGTGTGGTGGGCGCAGGGTGTCTGAGGGCTGCGTTTTAAGAGCAGGACAGAGTCAAGGAGGTGACTTACTGACATTTTGCTGACTGCACTCTGGCCCTCCTTGTGTCTTTATGGATCTTGCTATTTTAAGGACGCTCAGTTACTCTTGGTCCCGCTTGGGGCAGGCCTCACAGTTTCAGGACAGTTCCGTGCACACATAATGGCTCAGTCAACATGTCTGCCACAGCGCTGGCTGCTCTCTGTCAGCTGTAGTCCTATTTTTTGACTGTGTGTGTGAATCAGAGTGCACTTAACGAGTGAGCTGACTAACTGCCGTTAAATGAGGCGTCCTTATTTTGGTTTATGTCCTGCCCCAATTTTAAACTTTTAAGTTGAGATCTAGCACTTAACTACCACTTTTAACTCTCTGCCTTTTAATTTTGAATACCAAATATGGTAGAGTTATTCAGGTGGCCAAGTACACTTTTTCTGACCTTGACTGTGGTTGACTGCTATTACATTAAAGGAAAAGGAAAAAAAAAAAAAAAAAGCATGTATTTGCTGTTTTAGGGAGCATAAGCCCTTGAGATTTCCCAAGGATCATTTTTAAAGTCTGACAAGCAGCTGCCTGACATCTCCATTTTTAGCTAAAAGGCGTCTTCCCTCTGTCGGCTTGTGAGTGCATCGGGGGTGCCGTGCAGGGGTAGGCGGCCACGGGTTAATCTGTGGCCACTCCGTGCCTGACAGACACGAGCATCTGTGGTTCCTGTTGCATTGTTCTTTGGGTCTGGAAATGACATTCTCCTCACCCCAACGAGAGTCGGGGGAGTGTTTACCCAGAAGGCCTCCTTCCATTGGATGGGTTTTAAAGCTGGAGGTGGAATAAAAATGTGATGGAAAACGTAGGTAGAGCGTCCACAAAGTCATTCCTGCCCCAGGTAGGGTCAAAGTGACCCCAGGCACTCGGGTTTCATGGGGGAGCGGCCATCGAGATCATCTCCGTGCGTTTTAGTGTGGATGCTTTTCATGAGCCGGCCTGGGCTTCGTCGGGGGGGCAAGGTGTCTGTGTGAGCATCCCACCCAGGCTACAGTGCGGTCAGTAGTGTTCGCACAGCACATCCCCCGGGGCCGCCGAGAGGCTTCTGTTTTAGCATAAGGATGACGCAGTCTGGGTGAGAGAGTCTCGTGCTGAAAGTGGAGCAGACCGCAGCTCTTTCCCATGCAGTCAGAGAGCTTTTGGCCTTACCACGGAGGACGGGTAATCTTATTAGAAAGCCCTTTAAAATCAATAAGATAAATAAATAAATAATGCAAACCTAAAAGGGTGGTCGCATTGAGTTCATTCTTTTACAGAAAAAAAAAAAATCTATTTTCAATTACCTTACTCTGTTTAAATGTGCCACGCTGGTTCTTATTTAGAGCAGACTTTTATCCTATGTGTATATATATATATGCACAGCTGTCAAAAATGCATGTTGTTCTTTGTCTTGCAAATCCCCGCCCTTGGCCAGCTCAGAGGCTGATCTTTGGGGCAACCATCTCGCTGAAGGCAGAGTAGAACCTTCTGTCCATTTGGCCCGATCCTCGCTCAGACAGCATCATTTCTTCTCCCAGTGTGTGAGTTTTTGTCCCAAAAGTTTGAATGATGTAAAACACACACGTCACGGAGTCAAATGTAAAAAGTAAGTGTCGCGGTGTAAAGGTTGAGTAGAGCCTGCAGGAGGGGTTTCCTATCATCTGGTCTTGTTCTGTTGGCATGTGCCTGGCAGGAGCAGGGCCGGGCGCTGGCTTACCTCTGCAGCTAGAGATCTGTGCTTACGGTCACTGAGCAGGTGCTTCTGCGACAGGTTCTCCCAAGACCAGTGGAAGCGGTGGCCTCCTGTACTGCATGGGACAGTCCCTACGGACTTGTACCATTCACACCAACCTGGAAGCAATTAGCATTCTTTTGTAATTGGAGTAAAAGAAGGCTCTTTGATGATTGAAAACCCCCTTTCCTCTTTCTGCTCCAGATGTAGTGAATGGGCGCATCCATCGTCTTAGAAGACAGGGTAACCTCAAATATTTTTTCTCCAGTTTTGATGGCATGTTTCAATTCCTTCCTGCTTCTCTGTAGTTAGATGAGCTCTTGATTATAGTTAGGTGGCATCTTAAAACATCTGGCTGGTCATGTGTCGACCCTGAAGAGTCTGAGAGGGTGGTCAGCTAGCTCAACCGTAGGACCGATGGTCCTAACTAAAGTCATCCCGGGTGGGTGAATACAGTGCCAATGTTTAGCTTTAGAAGAGCTTAGAAAAGGGTACTGAGTCCTGGAATCTGTTTGGAAAGCTCTGCTCTATAAAATCTGCCTTTAACATGGCTGATGACCCTTAATCAGAAGGACACACTTGCCGGAGTGATGGCTGTCAGGGAAGAGCCAGCCCTGGTTGGCCTCAGTTGGTTAATTTTCCTGTGTCCAGGTGCCTTTCTCTTGGCACGGTACTTCTCAGTACCTGTCGTCTCTGCTCTTTGCAGGTGTGAATCATGGTGATGTGTGCAGGACGGTGATTTACTGCCTTGCAGGGCATGCCTGGGTATGATTAAGGGATATAAGTGCACCACTCCAAGATTTACTTCCTTCCTGTTGCAGCAGGGTTACCTGAGGGAGTGAGTAATGGGATAATTTATAACACCACGAGCCTTCGTCAAGAGCCCACTAGTCAAAACAGGAAGATAAAACTTGGGTTTCAAATGGGAGAACACAACTCTTGATGCTGTCGGGACATACCTCTTAATTGCAAGCAGAAGAGTCTTCTGAATTTCCCTTTTTATTTTCTCCAGGAGATAGATATCTGTTGACAGGTTAGTGTCTCCGTCCTGGTCAAAGCCGGGGACACTGTGATGGCGTTTGTAGCTCTCCTCCTGCTCTTTGTTTCCTGAGATTCTTGGGTTGTTGGAAAACTTAGTGGCCTAATTATTGAACCAGAATTCTTTTTTTTTTAAAGTCAAAGAATTATTGTCATTTGGAGTGTGATGACAGATTCAGCAACATGTTTTGAGGGATGGAGTGTCCTTACCATACTGGCCTCTGATTCTCGGGCTCTTCCATTTACACAAACTTCAGTTTTGAGTAGATGCAGTTGGGGGGATGGATAAAGAGTTTGTTTTCTGGGCTGGGGTGTGGCTCAGGAATAGAGTATGTGCCTAGCATACACAAGACCCTGGTTCAGTCCCTAGCACCTCTCCCACCCTCACAAAAGACTCCAGACTTTCTTTCCTGTGTATTTAGGGGGAAGATATTTAGCTGGCCTTGGCGAGGGCAACATCTGGGGATTCTTTTCATAATGCAGAACCGCTCTAGGAGAGTTGCGTAGGGCATTTGAAAATGTTCAGGTGGTTTGTTTTGTTACCACTGGCTCTAGATATAGGCTTCCGTGCTTTATTTTTATACTTGGAAAAAATTCCAGATCTGGCATCCAGAAACAAAAATTACCCCACAGTTAAAAGGACATCACCACTTTGGAGCTGCTCATTATTTGGAGGTTTGGTTCATGGCACAGTGTCACGGGAGGGTCTTCTGACTCGTGGTGGTGAGAACATGAGATTCTTGCACATGGACTGCCATAAGCGATGTTTTTATGCTAAAAGTATTAATTTCACCTTTCACTTTGGAATGCCTTAGCAGTCCGCAGTCAACTTCTTCTATTAGAGGTTGTAAAGATAAAATGGGAACAGGTCCAAGCCCTTCCTTTCTCCCATCTGCCCTAGGTGACTAAGGCACTCCCATAAATAACCAGTGCCCTTTTGAACTGACCTTCAGGTTCACGAGATGAGATGTAAATATCGACGGCCTTGACGTTTATTTATTTATTTATTTTGGTATGTGCGCCCTTCGGGAGGCAGGATCTCTCGGGATAACAGAAAGCAGGTGGATGGGTGGGTAGACAGCCCTGGACTCTCCCTGATCCCATCATCCCAAGGGAAGCTGGCCAGAGCCCCGATTCAAGGAGAAAATGTCTCATCGGCAAAGTTCAAGTCTTTACGGTATATTTATAGCCAACTCTTTTAGGATTGAATGCTGTTAGTCAGGCCTTTGTAATAAGACTTAGGGCAAATAATAGGTGAAGCTCCCTCCCTTTTGCAGACATAGGCTCTACCACTGAGCTATACCCACTCCCTCTCCCTTTTGAAATTAAGGATCCTGTACTACTTCCAGGGAGCAGAGTTCTCAGGTTCAGATTCAACTCTGACCGCTTACTAGCAATGTGATCTTTGGCAAATTATTTTACCTCTCTGCCTCAATTTCCTCAACTGGAAATGAGGATGATAATAAGTGGTCTTTGATTGCCTTTTCTTTTTTGTTTTTCAGGAATTAAATAAGAGCTGTCCAGTTGTGGTGAGCCTCTGAGTAGAGATTTCTTGCATGTATACCTGACAAGCTGTACCCATGAGAATGATCTCCAACGCTGGTAAGAAACCTACAGCTTAAGAAAATCTTCTGTCGAAGGTTCACACTCTTGGAGTGGATGTTCAGCTACATGAAAATCATGTTCTGGATTAAAAAAAAAAACAGAAAGAAAACAAAATAGCACTGATTTTGCAAAAATGGTTTAACAATTTTATTTCGCTACTGGTTGTAATTTTTCTGGTTTTATGTGTGTACTAGAGCAGGGAATATTACTGTGTTCACTTCATTGTATTGTCAAGCGTTATTGGTGGTCTTAATTTATATATCCGTGGTGCTGCAGAACTACCCCCTGCAGAGATGATTATAGCACTTGAGGGGGTGGAATCGCTGCACTCGGTTTTGGGTGCTTTTCTCACTAAGAGGCATGGGCACCAGGAGATGGTACTTGCCCATCTGTCTGTCGAAGCATTTGTATGTATATTACCTGAGCACTTAGGCACACCACCGAGAGAGGGGATTGAAGACCGAGGGGGAAGGGGAAAATTTGAAAATAAATTAACATGATGGAAACAACAAGAGTCTCCTCGAGAGTAATACCCAAACTATTCTTGAAAGCAGACTTAATAGCCAGTAGCAAACCCATTCACTATTGTTTTTTAGAAACAAAATTCAATCCTCACAGTTGAGACTGAAGTGCGGATCTGGAGGGTTTCCAGGGAAGTCTAGCAACACCCTCTTCCAGGTCTCAAATTCACGGGGGAGGAATCCATTTTAGAGAGTGGCTTCTTGCATTGGTGGCGAGCTGTCAGTGTTGGACGGGTGGATCCTGAGACATTGACTGATTAAGTTCCTCCAGGCTGGGCCGTCACGCTGTGGCCCCCTCTGCTCTGAGCTTCCTTCCCAGGTTGTGTGTCCACACTGGAGACTTCACAGCGAGGAGTGGGAAAGCCAAGCAGCCCGCTTTGGCATCAGTGTGGTCCTCCCTGACGAGAACCTGGGGAAAGAGGCTGGGTTCCACTGAAACATTATTTATTGATTACTTGTGTTTTATAGCACCTAATAAATTGTCCATTCCCTTAAAAACACCCTGTCTGCCCAATTTGCTTTTCCAATCACAAAAGATACAAAAATACCCGGCCTGACGCCATGGGATGATGTCGGGGCCCTTTACAGGTCGCCGGGCTCCTCGCCAGCTCTGTCCCCAGGTGCTTGTGAGCACTCACACTTTTCAGTTCCACTAGGGGTTGAGAGGTGGGTTCTCCCACCTGCAGTTGCCTTGATCTTTTTTCCAAAGGTGGACCCTGCACCCACACGGGAATGCTTCTCAGAGGTCACACCGGGTGCTGGGAGTGGGGTCAGCCCTTTTGGAGTCTGTGTTTTGCTCTGTATCTGAATCCCTGTGGGTTAATGACCTTGTGAGAATTTGGGTGGTCAAGGTCTTCAGAGCATAGCTTCATTTTATGGATGCAGAAACTTAGGCCCAGAAAAGCAGAGAGATTTGCTCAATATCATTCAGCTAACAAAGGCAGGGCAATGCATCCACGCCTTGGAATTGTAGCTTCCCCTCTCAGGCATACTGATAGATATCCTGTAGAGAGCTGGGGTGCACTGCAATTAGTGGGTTGCAGCAGGTTGATGGATAGATGAAAGAAAGAAGAAAGTAAACTTAGAACAAGAAATCGAGGCTTGGGATGGGGCTTGTTTGAGGTTGTATTAGAGAGATACCCTTTGGTCCGGAAGCAGGAATATTCTTTCTCTGATATAAGAGAAACGGAAGAGATTAAAAGCATGACAAAGATCAGATCCTTTTTAGTAGCTGTTTACTTTCTATTGAAACCAGGGAACAATGAATATTTATTCATCGTCAGGTAATTTAGGGTAATGGAGTGTGGACAATTTTTGATCGTACCTTCGTGTCTCCTGTGGTCTGTGCTACCTTTTGTTTTGCTAAAAATGGGCTAAAAGAGAAAGCAAGTAAAGCACTTTGCAGATCTGATAACCTCAGAGATCTCGGGAGAAACCTCTGGCTCGCGTCCCAGGGTGAGATCACACAGTCTGGTATGAGCTGGATTTATGCTGGGGTGTCAACCCAAACGCAAGACATGCTGTCGCGATTCCCGAGCAGCCCTTGAGTGGGGGGAAAGAGCAGCCCGGGTCAGCTGGAGGCTTCCTGTTGCTGTGCAGAAGCACAGCCCGCCCATCCACGGCACATGCATCTTTTCCAGGTGGCAGTTCTAAATTCATGGAGAAACATGACTTTTCATGGTTACGGTATTAGGTATTAGGGGTTGGGCCTTATCTCTGCTCATTCATACTTTTGAATCCAGACATATTTGAACCTGTCTGAAGGTCTGGTGTTTTATGTTCCACAAGTTTCTTTTTTATGACTGCCCAAGGACCTTTGGAAAGACCTCATTTTTATGGGATGACATAGTTGAGTTGGACAGGAGATATGCAAAAGGTAAGTAGCGGTCGCTTGTGCCTATAGAATCGAAACAAAAAGTGCCAGGGCTGCACCTGAAGTTCCAGTTGCTCAGGAGGCTGAGGTAGGAGGATCACTTGAACCCAGGAGTTCCAGACCAGCCTGGGCAATGTAGCCAGATGTATCTCAATGAATCAACAGAAAAACAATGAATCCATGCATGTGCATGCAGACACATGTGCATGTGTATACGTCTATGTCAACTGTATGTGTATGGAATTATGTTCATGATAACAATTAGTGTTTATTGAGTGCTTACTGTGTGCTATGGATTGCTCTAAGAGCCTTCCCAGTCTTACAGCGTCTCTGTGGAGTTCATACTGTCAGCCCATTTTCTAGACAAGGAACCGAGGAACAGAGAAGTAAAAAGAGCCGAATACAGTCTCAGAGAGCTCACAAGGGGATTAGAAGGTTCATACTCCATGCACTGACCCGAAAAGCCAATGCCACTAGCAACCTGCATCTGTGAATGTCACACCTCCTAGTGCTTGCCTAAAGGAGTCCCCGGTCAAATGGAGCAGTGCCGACATAAACCAGGCTTTAATAGGTGTTAAGGCGGAGATGGATCCAGGGCAGCGGTTAGACAACTCCCTGGATGACTTTCCAGGTCAACTCCTCCTGGAGTCGTGTTGGAAACCCAAGAAGACTGCAGCGTATTAAGAATAAAAGCAAAAAGCTCAAGAGAACTGACTCACAGAGGAGGTGTGGCCTGTGGAGTCTGTAGGTGACGTCCTCAGGACTGCCTCGGGTGGGGTTGGTGGCACAGGAGAGTTGGTGGCAGCTGAGGAGAGTTCCATCTTGGTGTCTTGGCAGCTGATTGAACATCTTGGGGGCGTTAGCAGCTGGGACGTGCGTGCTCAGTGGCAGATGTCATTGGACGGGCCCAGGTAGGAGGAGAGGCAGAGGCAGAGGCCACGCCATGGCTGAGAAGCTGGCTCATGAGCTTTGTGTCCTCTCCCGGGAGTCTGTGGCATCCCGTCATGGTGGTGGAGAAGGAGCCTGCTCACTGTTAGGGACACAGAAGACGCCTAGCCACCTGATCTTGTACTGACGTTTGGCATGTTTCTGTGGGGACGTGAATTTCACGAGGTGTCCTTTAGCAGATGCGTGTCTGGCCTCAGCCCTCCTCTTTGTAAAATGGGGCTGGTCAATAGACTTGACTCGTTGGGCCCTTCTGACGTGTCAGCAGGCTAATAGAAATGAAGCGCTACCCGTAGTCCCTGCAGCCACCCTCTCAGGGCCAGCTCTGAGCACACTGATGGAGAAGAAATAACTGCCCTTGGGGATTGAGGTGAAGTCATTTCAGGCAGACGCCACTCTGCTAGAATCCAGGGCGAGGCTCTTGGCCTCACGGAGGTCTTGGCCTCGTGCCTGGCTGGAGAAATTAGACGGACCCAGTTGCAGACTTGATTCTTGATGTCTAACTCCTGTGCACTGCGCTGGTCCAGCTCCAGGGTCCCCCACTAGCTGCTTATGTCCTCATTCTCTGGGGATAACCTAGAGATCCAGGTTAAGCCCTCTTCTGTCTTTATGCACCTGCAGAAGCCACCATCAGTTCAGGCCCCCTCCATCTGCCTGTCCCCCCTGCAGTGTCCCTCCTATTGCTGCCGGACCCTCCCTCCTTCTGTTGCCCACTGCATGGCCATGTCACCTTCTCCATGTCTCTGGGATGTCGGTTTATCTGTGTATTTTGTTACTGGGTTGTAAATTCTTTAGACATTTTTACAGATTTTCCTATCTCAGATTCTCTATAGCTGGGTGTATTGAATGAGCACTTTTCTAACTCTGCTGTAAGCTCTATGAGATGGTCTGTACCCGCTTTTCTGAACCTCAGTTTGCTGGCCTGTGCAATAGGTTACTTAATGTGCAGATAATGCTGTGGGTGGCACACAGTAGCCCCTCACTAGATGTGGCTGTGATGAACCTGACCGTCAGGTACGCACATCGGTGCCAGCTAGCTATTTTGGTCATGTGAAGATAACAGCAGTAGTGACTTACAGGCTTCCTTCTTCCCGAGCCCTGACCTCCCTTATCTGTGAGCATACTCTTCTTCCACTTCTCTCAGACAGCTTCCCTGGGGCCATTTACCTCCCACGAAAAAGCCAATGTGTCCAGTCTCCAGGGCTGGATATTGATTCCATCTCGTCCAGAGAGAATATGCTAATCACCTTGGCTAAGTGCTTTTTGGTCAAAGGTGTAAAAGCCCGACTCCATTTGGGGAAAAAAAAAAAAGTTGAAATTTCTGTCTTAAAATTTGTGATTATGGAATTTACCTCTCGAAAGGCAGTCGTATCTCAAATTTAACGATAAGCCATTTGCAGTGGACTGAGCATAAATTTTTCATGGCCCGTTTGGTTGAAAGAAGTACAGCAAGGTCTAGGTTTTTGTAGCATGGTATTTAATTTTGTTACGTTCAATCTGATTGCCAAGAAAATAGTGCGAAATCCTTTTTCCTGGTATTTCAGTGGCTTGTTTCTGGTTCGTGTTTAAAGCTATCCATTTTCAAGAAGCAAAGATGGTTGTAAAGAACCGTACTTAAGATTGTCAGCTGCCTCAGTTTCTTCGTGAGTTGAGTATGA